GCAAGCCCCATGGGATCCACCCGGGAAGGTCCAGTCTTTGGGGAATACAGAGGCTGTCCCACTCCCAGAGGCTGTGACTCTAGGGACTCTCATGACTCCAGGGGCACATGCAGCTGGCTACAGGATTCCAGTGTACCCATGATCTGCCCACCAGACTCTGGAGAGCCTACAACATCCAACTTTCCACTCCCGGGACCTCCGCTGGGGACTTCCGGAGGCAAGACATCCTTCAACTGGACAGGTCCCCAGTTGAAGGGTGGGCCCCTCCTTCTCACACAAACACCTCCCCCTCATCGCTTCCCACGCCCCTGCTCCCTGCTACTTTTTATAACAATGCTTTATTTGAGATCCTAAAGCACATTCAGAAAATAAACCCACCCACACCCTCTGCCCAAGGAAGCTGGAACAAGGTAACAGGGAAAAGCCGGGGGAATCCATCTAAATTCACTTCTGCCTTTCAAATGCCAGGCACACTCATCTGTTATTAGCGAGCACAGAATTACAGGTAGATGCACTTGGAGGCCACCACAGGACTGGGGTGCGGGGTTGGAGTGTGGCTGCAGGAAGGGAGAGCTGGAGGTGGGTACACAGGAGAGAAGACCCGGGGGTGCAGGAGAAGCAAAATCCGTTTGACCCTGTTGATGGGTCAGAAGTGGAAGCTGACACAGGGGTCAGGGATGCCCCTGGGTTTCTGGCTGGTCCTGCTGGATGGGTACTGGCTGCCTCTTGGGTGGCACCGAGAGAATCACAGAGAAGGGAGTGAGGCTTGTAGCTGCGTTTGGGCCAGGTGAGCTTGAGTCGACTTGAGTGGACCAGCAAGGGACAGACTGGTGTGGGCACAAGGGACCCCTGGGCAGGGAGCCCACCAGTGAGGCAGCTCCCTAGTGGTGGTAAGAGAGGGAGCTGAGGACTGAGCTGGGAGGATGACCTGGGTTTCAAATTGCTCCTCCTGCCCCACTACAGCTTGGACTTTCAATGTTGTTGCACCAGTCTCCTGATACCATTTACCTCCAGGGTAAGTAAAATGAAATGAGATTTAGAATGCAGCTGCCCTGTTACATGAGCCACATTTCCAGTGCTCAAAAGCCTCAGCAGCCAGCGGATACCTTTTGGGACCATTTCCAACATCCCACAGAGTTCTGTGAGACAGTGCTCTGTGAGACGATCTCTCTGAGAAGTTCATGAAGTCAGCCAAGAGGTAGGCTGAATTTAAAAAGAAAATGAAATGTTTCAATGGCGTGCACTGTACACTGTGAGCACAAGTTCAGGAGACTTTTGTCCCAGTTTGTGTACCTTTGTGAGTCCTGGTTGGGTAGCAGATATATTTCTTACAGGGAGTCATGGTTAAATATGGGCAAGGGTCATGCTGTAATGACCTTGGCTCTTGCCCCCCTCCTGTGGACTGGGTAAATGCAGGCCCCACTTGCTCCTTCTCAGACCTGCCCTGGAGCCCAGATCTCAGGGCTCTGAGCTCTTGCCCTGCAAACAGCTCTCATTCTAATGATTTCTGAGACTCCTAGTGCTGGAAGCCAAACTAAAGACTAAGCCAAGCCTTGCATTTCACCTTGACCTCATCCTCCTGACACCTTCCACCAAGGCTTCTCTAACAATAGCAATAGGACACATCTGTCCCCAGGGGCCAGCAACCTGCAACTCCCAGAAAGGACCCTGCTGACTTTGCAGAGGTGAAAGCCCTAGTCCCCAGGGCCCCCCTTGGCCTCCTCTTCCAGGGAGTTCAGGCCAGGCGTGGGTGTCCTGCAGGTTGAGGGGAGAGACAACTTTAAGACAAGGCCTCTTCCAGCTCCTGGCTTGATCGCCTCCTCCCGGCCCCAGCCTGCTGTTGACTCTAGTCTGGTCTTGGCAGCAGTCTGCAGGGCCCCAGAGGAGACCCCCCAAATGGAAATACAAGCCTAGAAATGGATTTCTTTTTCTCCAAGAACAAAGAAGTTGAATAAAAAATAAGTTACTATTTTTACTGCCAGTTGTTATGGCAACAGAGGGCCTGACTCCTGCACCACCACCACCACTGAAGTCTGGCTGGTTGCACGTGAGGGTGGGCACAGGGCAGCAGGAGCTGGCAGGTAAGCCTTGGGGCTCCTGGCCATGGGGCCTTCTCAGAGCCCCAGGCTAGGCTTCCCCAGCCCCTGCTCACCCTGATCCTCCTTGGCATGTCAGGTGGTCCTGGACAGCAGCTCCTATTGGTACAAGTCCACCTCCTCTTTGCTCTGTGGCCTCAGGCTCAGCCCAGTTTTGCTACCAAAGCCAGCCTTTCTCGACTCCTGGAGCTGCATGCTCATGCCATTGCCCCCAGATGGAACCTGTGGCCCTACTCAAATAAGTATATTAGCCCCTCAACCCCACCTGGCCAAACCCAGCTCAGTCTTCCCTCCCCCTCCTCTATACCCACCAGTCTCCCCTCCCCTGAAGGTGGCACCAGCACCAGCCCACTGGCCCAAGTTGGAGAGTAGCTGAAATCTCCACAGGTGTTTTCTGGGACTCCAGGCCTGGCCGGATCTGTCACCTCCTGGCTTTGTGCTCAGGGCCAGGTGCTTACCAGGCAGGCCTCAGTTTCCCCACTTATAAAGTACAATAACAGCACCTGCTTGGTAGGACTAAGAAAGGGGCAATGGCGGCCCTGCCTGACCTCATCACCAAACGTTTATTGATTCCTTTGTTCCTCTGGGTAATGCTACATGGTAGACGCTAATTTCCTAATTTACACATAAGAAAATGAGGCTCAGTCAGGCTACATCGTGCTGCAGGCCACAGCTGGACTGGAAAGCTGAGCCACGTCTGTCTAACCAGGAAGCCCCTGAACTACTGAACAAACATTGATTAAGCACTGGCCGGGCTTTCTGCAGAGGGACCGAGTAGGAGGCAGGTCGGCCAGATAAAGTCCTCCCAGCACCCATGCTTCTTTCTCCTTCCTGGGGGCCTAGCTACTGTCCCATGGAGCCAGTTCTGCCATGACTCCCCATGGTAGGGACACCCGATGGGGCCTCTGGGGCCCCATGGCACCCTCTGACCTCATTCTCCTCCCCCTCCCCACTGGTGACTTGCACTCCCAATCAGTTCACATGAGTGGGCACCTCTCATGTGGCTTGCAGGGTCTGGGAGCTAGAAGGGGTATCGAAGACACCTTCCTGGCCTCCTCAAACTTCTCTCTCACATGAAAGAAGCACATGAGACAACCGCAAACCACTTGTTCACTCAATAAGGTACATGGCACCTGCCTAAATTCTTCATACACGCATCTTGCGAGGGCTCCCAAACACCAGTCAGTGATTATTATTCCACCAAAAAGCAGGCCGAGGCTCGGTAAGGTAGCAAGTGACAGGTGGTCTGCAGACATTACAACGATGCCTTAGCCTGCATTTCTGTACCCACAGTTGAATTGGTATTTGTGGTCCTTTTCCTGAGGGAAAAATTTGTAAAGTAAAGTGCACAAATCTTGAGCAAACATTTGCTGAGGTTTGACAAATGCATGTGTAAACCAAACTACTTTCAAGATATAGAGATCCAGAAAGTTCCTTCATGCCCTATGCCACTCGGCTGATCAGTTTTGTCTGGTATAGAATTTTATATAAATGCAATCATACAATCTGTTTTGAGCATAAAGCCTTTCATATTTTTTCATGTTCTTTGAGAGTCAGCACAAAACCTTTATGACCCAGCCAAGTTATCGGGTATAGCATTGCTTTTATTTGCTCAGTCTGTTCCGTGGGTCTGAGCCACGTGGTGTATGAGCCGTTTTATTATGACTGACAACTGGACTGTCTGGTTACTAATGCCAGTAAGTGGTCGTCAATGTTGAGGGACATCTTGGTTTCAGGAATATTAAGATAGAATGAGAGTACAAGTTAATGTGAACTGGGCATATACTACCTGCAAGGTGTGTGCTTTGCACATAGTTACTTAATATTCCCAGTGTCCCTGAGTAAGTTTATCCCCTGTTTACTAAGGAGAAGTCAGGTTTAAGGGTGCTCAAATCGTGTAAATAAAACAGCAAACCCAGGGCGGCTGGCTCCAGGGACCAGGTCAGTGTCTGCTCTGACTTTGTTCCCTCAAACAAGCCATGCTTTCTCAGGTTTTTCACATCCAAAATGAAGTTACTCCACTTCTATTCTATTCTGGAAAATAGCAATGCCCAAAGAAAAGTCAAGTTGAAGTAATGATACCACGTGACTTCAAGATTTCCTAATTAGAAAGCTACAGTCATTTGATAATGTATGATTTCCTTTATATGACATTCTGGGAAATGCAAAACTATAAACAGAAAGCACATCATTGGTTGCCAGGAGCTGGAGGGAGGAGGGTAAAGGGAAGCAGAAGTTGGCAACGAAGGGCCATGAAGGAATTTGGAGAGGTGAAGGAGCTGCTCTAG